TATCAATCCTTTATTTAAGTTTCAAGTAAAAAAGTGTTCATATTGAATACACAAAATCAACCTTCATCACCTTCATCATCTTCATCACCTTCATCATCTTCATCACCTTCATCACCTTCATCATCTTCATCATCTTCATCACCTTCATAATCTTCATCACCTTCATCACCTTCATCATCTTCATCACCTTCATCATCATCACCTTCATCATCTTCATCACCTTCATCACCTTCATCATCTTCATCACCTTCATCACCTCCATCATCTTCATCACCTTCATCACCTCCATCATCTTCATCACCTTCATCACCTTCATAATCTTCATCATCACCTTCATCACTTTCATCACCTTCATCATCTTCATCACCTTCATCACCTTCATCATCTTCATCATCTTCATCACCTTCATCCTCTTCATCACCTTCATCATCTTCATCACCCTCATCATCTTCATCACCTTCATCACCTTCATCATCTTCATCACCTTCATCACCTCCATCATCTTCATCACCTTCATCACCTTCATCACCTCCATCATCTTCATCACCTTCATCACCTTCATAATCTTCATCATCACCTTCATCACCTTCATCATCTTCATCATCTTCATCACCTTCATCACCTTCATCATCTTCATCACCTTCATCATCTTCATCACCTTCATCATCTTCATCACCTTCATCATCTTCATCACCTTCATCACCTTCATCATCTTCATCACCTTCATCCTCTTCATCACCTTCATCCTCTTCATCATCCTCTTCATCACCTTCATCCTCTTCATCACCTTCATCCTCTTCATCACCTTCATCATCTTCATCATCTTCATCGCCTTCATCATCTTCATCACCTTCATCCTTTTCATCCTCTTCATCACCTTCATCACCTTCATCCTCTTCATCACCTTCATCCTCTTCATCACCTTCATCATCTTCATCACCTTCATCATCTTCATCACCTTCATCCTCTTCATCACCTTCATCATCTTCATCACCTTCATCATCTTCATCACCTTCATCATCTTCATCATCTTCATCATCTTCATCCTCTTCATCACCTTCATCATCTTCATCACCTTCATCATCTTCATCATCTTCATCGTCTTCATCCTCTTCATCACCTTCATCACCTTCATCTGACCCAACCTGAGCAACGAGGATCTCTTCTTCGTTTTCCTTTGTTTTTACAGGTCCCACATTTGCAGAGGTCTGTACAGCAGAGCTTGGCTCTGAGACAGGAGCAGGGCCCAACTCCACCGACAACCTCTTCACAGAATGTATAGATGCGGCTGTATTGCTGCGGCTGTATTGCTGCGGCTGTATAGCTGCGGCTGTATTGCTGCGGCTGTATAGCTGCGACTGTATTGCTGCGGCTGTATTGCTGCGGCTGTATAGCTGCGGCTGTATAGCTGCGGCTGTATAGCTGCGGCTGTATTGCTGCGGCTGTATAGCTGCGGCTGTATTGCTGCGGCTGTATTGCTGCGGCTGTATAGCTGCGGCTGTATTGCTGCGGCTGTATAGCTGCGGCTGTATTGCTGCGGCTGTATTGCTGCGGCTGTATAGCTGCGGCTGTATAGCTGCGGCTGTATTGCTGCGGCTGTATAGCTGCGACTGTATAGCTGCGACTGTATAGCTGCGGCTGTATAGCTGCGGCTGTATAGCTGCGGCTGTATTGCTGCTTGGTCGCCTTAGGCCTGTAATGACGTTAAAAGATACATATTGTGTGTTCATTATCAACAATAAGATTTGTCTTTACACCATTGTTGCATTCACTCTCGATGCAACGTTATCCAGACTTATCACACGCTCCTCACAGCAGCAGCAGAACGCTCCATTGATTTGAATGTAATTTCAAAACGTTCTACAGGTCATTATTTTCTATTACGGACCTCTCAAAACAATAATGACCGCTGCCCTTTGGCAACGCACTCTCTGCTTGTATTTCAAATGCGTAGATAACTCTGCGAGTAGTTCCGGCCACTCCGGAGCTAGCCACGCTCAATCAACACACCCATCCATCCATCCATTTTCTTCCGCTTCATCCGTTGCCGGGTCGCGGGGGCAGCAGTCTAAGCAGAGACGCCCAGACTTCCCTATCCACACACACTTCCTCCAGCTCATCCGGGGGGACCCCAAGGCGTTCCCAGGCCAGCTGAGAGACATAGTCCCTCCAGCGTGTCCTGGGTCTTCCGCGGGGCCTCCTCCCGGTGGGACGTGCCCGGAACACCTCCCCAGGGAGGCGTCCAGGAGGCATCCGGAACAGATGCCCGAGCCACCTCAACTGGTTCCTCTCGACGTGGAGAAGCAGCGGCTCTACTCCGAGCTCCTCCCGTGTGACTGAGCTCCTCACCCTATCTCTAAGGGAGCAGCCACTCTGCGGAGGAAGTTCATTTCGACCGCTTGTATCCGCGATCTCGTTCTTTCGGTCATTACCCAAAGCTCATGACTATAGGTGAGGGAGGGAACGAAGATTGACCGGTAAATCGAGAGCTTTGCCTTTCGGCTCAGCTCCCTCTTTACCACAACGGTCCGATACAGCTCTGACTGCAGACACTGCTCCCTCTTTACCACAACGGTCCATTACAGCGACCGCATCACTGCGCACGCTGCACCAGTCCGCCTGTCAATCTCACGCTCCATCCTCCCCTCACTCGTGAACAAGACCCCGAGATACTTGAACTCCTCCACTTGAGGAAGGACCTCTCCACCCACCTGCAGAGGGCAAGGCACCTTTTTCCGGTCGAGCACCATGGCCTCAGATTTGGAGGTGCTGATTCTCATCCCAGCCGCTTCACACTCGGCTGCAAACCGTCCCAGTGCATGCTGCAGGTCCTGGTTCGTTGGAGCCAACAGGACAACATCGTCTGCAAACAGCAGAGATGAAATCCTGTGGTCTCCGAACCGGACCCCCTCCGACCCCTGACTGTGCCTAGAAATTCTGTCCATAAATACAGTGAACAGAACCGGTGACAAAGGGCAGCCCTGTCGGAGGCCAACATTCACCGGGAACAGGTCTGACTTCCTGCCGGCAATGCGAACACAGCTCTGGCTCCGGTCATACAGGGATCGGATGGCCCTCAGCAGAGGACCTCCGACCCCGTACTCCCGGGGAACCCCCCAAAGGACACCCCGGGGAACACAGTTGAACGCCTCCTCCAAATCCACAAAGCACATGTGGACAGGTTGGGCGAACTCCCATGAACCCTCGAGTATCCGATGGAGAGTATAGAGCTGGTCCAGAGCTGGTCCCCCTTCTTGTAGAGAGGGACCACCACCCCGGTCTGCCACTCCATTGGCACTGCCCCCGATCGCTACGCGATGTTGCAGAGACGTGTCAGCCAAGACAGTCCTACAACATCCAGAGACTTTAGATAATCAGGGCGGATCTCATCCATACCCGGAGCCTTGCCACCATGGAGGCTGCCAACCACCTTGGTGACCTCAGCCAGGGAGATGGATGTATCCGCCCCAACATCCTCAGCCTCTGCCTCCTGGACGGAGGACGTGACGGGGGGATTGAGGAGAAGTGGAAGTATTCCTTCCACCGCCCGACAATATCCCCAGTCGAGGTCAGCAGCCCTCCACCCGCACCGTACATGGTGTTGGCAAAGAACTGCTTCCCCCTCCTGAGGCGCCGGATGGTTTGCCAGAATCTCTTCGAGGCCGACCGATAGTCATGCTCCATGGACTCTCCGAACTCCTCCCAGTCCCGGGTTTTTGCCTCTGCAACAGCCCGGGCCGCGGCACGCTTGGCCTGGTACTGGACAGCTGCCTCAGGAGTCCCCGGAACCATCATGGCTCGATAGGACTCCTTCTTCAGCCTGACAGCATCCCTTACTGCCGGTGTCCACCACCGGGTTCGGGTGTTGCCGCCGGGACCAGCACCAGAGACCTTGCGACCACAGCTACGAGCCGCCGCATCGGCGATTGAGGCAGAGAACATGGTCCACTCGGACTCCATGTCCCCCTCCTCCGCCCGGACCTGGGAGAAACTCTCCCGGAGGTGTGAGTTGAAAGTCCGTCTGACAGGGGGCTCAGCGAGACGTTCCCAGCAGACCCTCACTACACGCTTGGGTCTCCGCCTTCGACCACTGCCCAGTCCTCTCTGCACCGTGCCACCACGGACCCCTCTGCGGGTGGTGGGCCCACAGGAGGGAATGCCCATGTCATCCCTTCGGGCTGAGCCCGGCCGGGCCCCGTGGGCTAAGGCCCGGCCACCAGGCGCTCGCATACGAGCCCCGATCCCAGGCCTGGCTCCAGGGTGGGGCCCCGGCTGCGCCATGCCGGGCGACGTCACTGATGTCATATTTGTGCTGTCCATGGTGTCTTCTGGACTGCTCTTCGTCTGACTCGTCACCTGAGACCTGTCTGCCATGGGAGACCCTACCAGGGGCATGAAGCCCCAGACAGCATAGCTCCCAGGATCATCCGAGTACACAAACTCCCCCACCACGTTAAGGTGGCAGTCCAGGGGGGAGCAATCAACACACTTAATTGTTAATCGGAGAATACTTATACATATACATTCTTCACACACGTGCACGGAAATTTTCTGAATTTTCTGGTCTTGTCTTCATGACAAAAATACTATTTCTCTGCGTCAAAAAGCGATCGTGAAAAACCCGGAAGTAGTTCCGGCCGCTCAATAAACGCAAATGCCAATCAATCAACCTCATTAAATGTTAATCGGAGAGTAATTTATACATATCCAGTCTTAATACAAGTGCACGGAAGTTTTCAGAATTTTCCGTTTCTGCGTCGGGGTCTGCTTCGCCCTGTCGGTGCTTATTTCCCGATAATGACCTGCGTAATCTACGTTATCCAGACTTCTTTGATACACAATGATCATGATTTCAGAATGAGTTCTTGGTAAGAGGGAATGTAGACTATATTTGTATGATACAAATCTGAAGTCCTCAAACGCTGCGTTTGGATGATTGTACTTCAGTAGATGGCTGTGAATTCCTTTCGATAATTTGGGCCTATTCATATCACATTTTGATTTGAACTTTTTTACCTTTCCGTATATTTCTCCTCCTTGCTGAGGAATCCTGTGTACTCCCGATAACAGGACTGATATTTCACCTCCATGGCTACACAATCTTTGTCCATGGCTACACAATCTTTGTCCATGGCTACACAATCTTTGTCCCGGATGTGATGGAGAATGTGTTCATCACTTTTGGCCTCAGCTGCTTCAGAGCAGATCTGGAAATGACAAGTTCAAATGTTATGAATTATTTCATCCCAGCAAAAGTAAAAACTAAACAGAGAAGACTAAGTCACTAAACCACATGGATCTACAGTGTAGAAGTACGTCTGCTGATAATATGATGCTAGCATGCAGTCATCACAGCTGTGCAATTATAGTGTAGATAATTACTGCCTAAATAAATGACCTGTCATCAGTGCCATGTTCCAGTGGTCTCAGAGTAACTGTTGCACATCAGTAAAACTAACCTGACGGTCTAAACCCAGCTCACGGTCCTGTCAGTGGGTGAACAATCCAACGCTCTGTGAGTCCTGCTTCACAGTGATAGAAGCAGACTTTCAGAAAAGGCCTATTTGTATTGAATATATCATTTTCATTTCATTTATTTATATATAATATAAATATATATATATTTATATATAAATATATATATATAAATATTGATTTATATTTTTATCTTTTTTTTTAATGTTCTGTGATTATGATTTTAATGCTTTATTTTGTTCAGCACTTTGAATTGCCTTGTGTGTATATAAATAAACTTGCCTTGCCTTGACACACACAGACACACACATAAACACACATAAACACACACACACACACATAAACACACACACACACACATACATAAACACACACACACACATACATAAACACACACAGACACACACACATACACACACATACATAAACACACACACACATAAACACACAGACACACACACACACAGACACAGACCCACACACACACACAGACACAGACACAGACACACACACAGACACAGACACAGACACACACACAGACACAGACACAGACACAGACACACACAGACACAGACACACACAGACACAGACACAGACACAGACACACACAGACACAGAAACAGAAACAGACACACACAGACACAGACACACACAGACACAGACA